GCCAAGAAGTATATGTTGCTGTCCATGGAGTGACGACTGACCAAGATGGAAATTGTGCTAAGAATCGTTTGAATCTTAAAGATGTTTGGTGTTCACCATGTAAAAAATGACCACCTAGTGCTATTGATAAGCATGGAGTTTTCGGCATATTATTTATCTATATAAGAAATACATAAATATTAAAAATATTATTAGCGAAATTAATACACATTCATTCATTTATTTATAAGAGTTTCATAGTTTACTTACATTCAATTCAAGAGAAAATGTAAAAGGAACACAGTCAGATGCACAAGAATAATAAATAAAATATGTTTCTCTATTGTTCCATTTAGGTCCTTCTAATGGTTTCCCTTCTAAAATAGACCACTTCTGTAAATGAACCCCTTTATATGGAGATAAAATTATACTTATATGATCCGGACCTAGTAAAATTTTAATTGATTTTTTTTATTTTCTCTTCTCTTTATTTATTTATTTAATTTATATGATAATAAAAGAATTACCTGTAACATTAAAAGTAAAACTAACAATATTTTGTTTTATAGACTTTGAAATAAGTTCAAGTTTTGTTGGAATGCTAATTAATGGAGCAGGGCCTGGAATCCAACTTGTTTTCCTATTTAAAATATTTTTATATTATATTATTAAGTATTATTTGATTAAATTTTCTCTAATATTTTTTAAAATAATATAATGTTGAGTATATTAAAAATACCATAAAAATGTTGTAACAGGCATAAAATATGGTAGGCCGCAATATAATTCTTTTTCACAATCTTTTATTGTTGACATTACTGCACCTATTTCAGGTACTACAGCTTCTACACTATGTGGACTATTCATATCTAAATCAGCTATCCAATATCCCGTTCCAGAATAACGTAAATTACCATCAACATCATAATATTGTTTTTGTGTGTGCTGAATATATATAAATCAAATATTTTTTATTATAAAATTATCAATCATTTCAATTATTTAATTCAATTATAAATCAATCAGAATTTAATTATAAAGATTACCGCAATCATAAATCGTTCTGGTGCTAATGATGATAAATCACCACTATAAGGAAAACCAAGTGGAGTTAAAATTAATACTCCTATAGTTATTAAAAATATTCCCATTAATACACTTAAGATTCTCTCTGCATTTTTTATTAAAAGTACAAATGGTAACTAAAAATAGAATATTATATTAGATTTTTATGATATAATAAAAAAGATTTTTTTTAAATGGCTTAATAATTTAACAATATACCGTGAAACTAAGTAGCAGAGAAAAGAGGATGCATAACATATTAGCCATAACAACTTCCGAATTTATACTGCTACCAGATCGTCCCATTATAGGTATAAAAAGATAAAGAGCTCCGATTATTAAATAAAAAGATTGTATATAAGGTAAACATGTCGTTATTAAATAATAAAACAGCCATTTCCAACCTATGAGCAAAATGAATTAAAAATAACATAATTAAGAATAACATTAATTTCACTATAATAATTCCATGATAAAATAATTCATTGATAAAATTATATATACCTCTCCATTTGTTAAAGAAATTACATCGAATTATATTTCCAACAGTAGGAAATACAACCCAATGTAATGGTATAAAACCAGATCGTATCTCAAATACAACACAAAAAGAAAGAACAGATATCCATATTATGGAATATGAATCACAATATATTTGATATAAAATCCATGCAGATTTAACTTCCTATAAAACATTAATCAAAATTAAAAGATTTATAAAACTAAGAATATCCGTAATATATATATTTTAAAATATTATTATAAACTTGCCTTTTTTTGACGTGAACCAATGAATAAAAAAAATGTCATTGATATGAAAATAGTTGGAACCACATATAGAAAAAATAACCATGCTGGTCTTGCATACCAACTCATAACTTTTCCAAGTTTAGTAAGAATAAGTGCGATTAATGTGCATGAAAGTATAGATATTAGCCATGAAACAATTATTGCTCCGGTACATAATAATAAATGTTTTAAATATATTGATTTTTTCGTATCTAAATTAAAATTTAAAATTTTGATTACATTAAAATTATATGTTAATAAATTTGATTTAATACTACATATACGTACCTCGACGAGCATTTTGTATATTTAAATATATCGAGTATATACTAACGATTATGCTAATAATATTAATTGTACATGCCATATATTGAGGCCATCTGATAACAAATGTACCTAAGAAATCAAAAAATACAGGATTTCCTGTGTGATCTTGAAATGGTATTTCGGATAAATAATTATCTAATATTATTCCTTGTAATAAAGCAAGAATATTATCTCCAGTTCTTTGTAAAGATCCTAATGGTATTTGGTGAATATTATCAAATTTAGTATGGTATACATAACCATTAGTTGCCCATGCAAAATCAAGGCCTATAATTTTTTAAATATATATATAATATATAAATATCTAAAAAATAAAAAAGAGTATAAAATTAAAATAGATAATATAAAATGAATACCAGAAACATTTCCAAAATCTCTAAATATTCGAAAATCAGTATCTCCAGGTACAATGCCACTTTCAAAGATTTCTTGAGCTAAGGATGATGCATAAGGATAAGGAACAGATGTAGCATATATCTATAAAAAAAATAAAAATATATTAAAATATCTATAATAATAACAAGTATAAGATAATTTATACTACTATTACTACTATTACTATTATTATTATTATTATTATTATTATTCAATGGTACTTGAAGCATCCAAGAACTATCAGGTCCAGCCTGAAACAATAATTCGCGACCACCAGCACCACAAGCTTCTAAATTTATAAAAGCTCGCACTTCTTTAGCCCAAGGATGTTGTGTTATAAAGCCATGGGAAGCCTGTATAATTTTTTAAAAGATTAATTAAATTTCATTCATTTGTCAATGATTATATAATGTAATTATATTATATATAATTAATATACCTGTAATAAATTTTCTTCAGCACCATTAAATAAAAATATAATGTTATGCTTTAATAATTTTGAACTATGACTAATTACACGTAAAATTTCTAACATCACAGCACAACTAGCTCCATCATCAGATCCACCTAAAAAAAAAAATTAATTTAATATTTAATTATTGATTATTAAATAAAATTTTTTCATAATCATTACCAGGACTTTCTGGAAAAGTATCAAAATGACAATTTATCAATAAACTACTCTGAGTAGATCTATGAGGACCAATTTTAACAATGACATTTTGAACATTTCTATATACATTTGTCATTCCATCTAAAAATTTTAAAGGAAAAGCTCCACTATGCTTGGTTACATTGACTAGAATCTTATGATTCTCATTGGCTCCTTTAACTATATTATTAATGATATTAGTTAAATATTTAATTGCCAATACTTCATTTTCATAACTTCCAACAATTCGTGGTCCAATAGATGTAATATTCAAAAGATGATTATGTGCTCTTTCAGCAATAAATCTTCCAGGATATAAACCTTCTTTATTTATTGTTAATGGTTCAGGTAATTTCTTTTCAAATGTAATAATAATAATGGACACAAAAAGATAAAATGTAAAAAGAAAAAGTAAATGTTGAGTTTCATTTGGCAGTACTTCTTTCTTCTTTGAAGAAGCTTTATCCTCATATAACACATCACTAGTAGATCTTTTAGAGACATGTTGACGTAATCTTATTCCGTCTCTCTGAAAATTACCATTGTTAATATATAAAGAAAAACATAATTATATTAATCAAAATGAATGAAAAATAATCTTACCATTGTCTGTATTCAAATATAAAAGGCACTTTGAAAAGAAATTAAGTTTTTGAATTAAAATTAACTCAGAGATGAACCACAATATTCAATTTTATATGATACATTAATCACATATATTACAAATTGTTTCATGCAAAGAAAATTTGTATTATTTCTTGTTATTTCTTCTTCATATGAAACAAATAAAAAAACATACAAAATTTTATTAATTTTCTTTTTATCGTACTTGTAATCAAATATGATTTCAAACAATCGTATATAATATAATATTTCTTGCAAAAATTTTACATAAAAATTTTATTATTGTAATTTTTTATTATGCAAAATTAATTTTTAAAATATAATAATTAAATAAGTATAATGCCCACCTTTCGTTGTATCTTTCTTATATCTATATTTCTTATTTAATTGGCACAATTTCGTATTCGTTAGTTCAAATTTATTCCTCCATGACTCCACGTTAATATATCATGGATCATTGTTATCAATCGATTTAATCTCCATAAAAATACATTTAGATAAAATGTATTTATACGTGCATTCATGTACCACTACGATTAGATAACCACATCATATTTTTTGAATAAAGATTTGTATAGACGATTGTTAGGTAGGTTACTCGATACTTGCTAATACGAATAAAATCATACTTATATACATATATCTGAATATAGCATTATAGAAAAGTTAGCAAAAATAGAATATATATCACGGTATAATTTATAGCTATTTAAGACAAAGAGCAATCGAAATATAAAATAGTAATTTATAAAATAATAAATAAAAAAATAATTTTATGAATGAAAAATATTTTTATTATGTGTGTAATTTATATTATCGATGCTATTAAAATAAAAGAAAAATACTATAAAATTATATAAATATATAATCATTTTTAAAATAAGCAAAATAAAATATCATTATTTATTTAATTGTAAATAAGTTTCTAGAATTTATTTATATATTTCAAAATTATATTTCAAAATAAAAAAATATAGAATATAAAAAAAAGACAATAAATAAATCATCAATATAATTAAATTTTAAAAATATTAATTTTTTCTCTTCTACTAAATAATAAAATGAAAATTTAATTTTGAATAATTAATTTAAAATTTTTTCAAAAAAGTACGATAAAAAATGCAAATCCAATCGTTTACTGCCATCTGTAGGAACGAGATTTAATGAAGCCACAAAATTTGTTCGTTCAACGATAAGATTCTAATAGTAGGAATCGCTTCCATAACTAGCAGACGACTAAGTCTAGCAGACAGCGCATAGCTAGCGTCGTTCGCGGGCGCTTGTGACTTTGTTTCAAAATCGAAAATTGTTGAACATCAAAAGATACGGTTTTTGTAAACGAAACTGAAGAGTTAATTGTGAAAAAAATAGAAATCAATCGAAATGGATCCCGAAGCATTCCTGGATATGGCCAATCAGGTCATTAAATTGAAAATGTTTCCGTACTTTGATATTGCACACTGCGTACTCTGTGCATTACACGTCAGAGAAGATTTAGGACCCGGTAAGCTCAAGCCTACCCGACGAATTCTAAATTTAATCTGCCCAGATTCAGCTTATACCTTTTCTAAGATTATGTTTCGCTCCCTACCATTTCTTTCTATTCTTTTTTAACATCCTTACCTTCTTATATGTTTATCTTTTTTGTTATTTTCTATTATCTATTAAGCTTTCTCTCTCATTTAAAATTCAGTAGAATTAAAAAAATATTTTGTATATTTTTTATTCGTAATTGAACGCTAAAGCTTCATCATTATTTTAAATATTTTTATTAATTTTCTATAAAATTATATATAAGATTATACATATTTAAAATATATTAAATTAAGTATATTTCAAAATATATTATTGAACTATAATTTTTTAGAATGTAATAAAAATTAATGTAATATACTTAACATTATTAACAATATAGAAATGGGACAAAAATAATATTTTAAAAATTTCTTTTTTTACTCTATTTCTATATTATTCTCAATTTAACATTAAATAAGAAGATTAAAAATCAAAGAAAAAAGTTTTCATCATATTGTCTATAATTATTTTCATATAGTATCTGGCACAATTATAATAATCTTACTTTGTGACATTCAATGAGCTAATCTATTTCAGTATACATCCTTGTGGATACGCCAAATTTTTTTTCAATTTTTTGCTTCAATTTTTATCTTATATGATTTTTTATACTATTATATTTATTTTAAATTATATAAAAATATATATTATAAATTATATTATAATTCTATAAATATTTAATAAAAATATAGAAACATATTATATAAGAATATTTTGAAAATTAATGAAAGTGTTATTCCATAACTTTTTTTATGCAGTAAAATGTGAAAGACCAATCTTTAAAAAATAAATAATTAAAAAATCTTGTATATATCTTGTTAATTTAATTTCTTATTAATTTAATACTTATAACATTTTATTTATTATATATATTATATATTATATACATTTTAATGAATTTTTTTTTATAATTAATATCTTGCTATTGATATCAAAATCTTTAAAATATATTAAATAATATTATTTTCATGTTTATGACAAGCTGGTATTATGTTTGCATGAATGCATATAATGTATACTTGTAAGGATTCCAAGCGACCTAGTTGAAACAGTATATCTCTTTAATATTTCATGGTGTATTATAAAAATAAAATTCTGTGGCAATTTAAATATTTGTAAATTAAATTTTTATTTTTTTATATAAAAGTATTTATTTAATAAATATATAAAATTTAAAAAAATAGAGTATTATATTAATTTATTACATTTTATACATTGTAAAACTTTGTTGAATTTCATAATTTTTTTGCTAATTTATATTTATATATAATTCTATTAATAATAGGTGCTCAAGCATTTTCTCGGAAACATCCTCTATCATGTTGGCTTTCAACAATGTTGGTAGTATTTGCAAGTGGTATGCTATGCAATGGTCTTTTAGGAGAACCTATTCTTGCACCTTTAAAAAACACACCACAAGTAATAGTAGCAACCATTGTTTGGTTAGTATAAAAATATAATAGAAAGATAACTTATTAAATTTTAAATTATAAATATTTTGTATGGAAATTATTTCGGTTACTTTAATAAATTAAATAATTTTAATAAATTTTTAATAAATTAAAATTTTTCTATATATTTAATTGAACTCTAAAAAATATTTATATATAATATTAATTGCAAAATTTACAGGTATGTGATATTTTATACACCATTTGATATTGGATATAAAATTGCTAAATTTTTACCAGTAAAAATTGTATGTGCTACTATGAAAGAAATATATAGGTATGTAAAAAAATAAATAATTATTTGTTATTTTATTTTTTAATACCATTATCTTTTATATAACATATTTATATTAGTTTTCTATAATTTACAGGTGTAAAAAAGTATATGATGGAGTAACTCATGCAGGAAAACTTTATCCAAATGCATATCTTATTATGGTATTAATTGGAACACTCAAAGGTAAATTCTAATATTAAGTATATAAAAATAAAAATAAAAATATTCAAATATGTAATATATATAAAAAAAATATATATATATCTCTAAATATATATATAAGTATATATGTATATATATATATATAGAAATATATATATATACATAGAAAATATAAATATATATAAAAAATATAAATATTTAGATATAAATATATTAAAATATAAATATATATAATAAATATATTTAATTTCAGGAAATGGAGCAGGTTTTACAAAACTTTTTGAACGACTTATACGGGGAGTGTGGACTCCAACTGCTATGGAATTTATGCAACCTAGTTTGTATGTTTATTTTATTTCTTTTTCATAAAGTGAAATTAAAATAAATATAAAATTTTATTATTTAGCCCTACAAAAGCATCAATGGTTGCATCCATTATTTTCGTCCTAGACAAAAAGACTGATCTTATTTCGGCACCTCACGCACTAGTTTATTTTGGTATCGTTATTTTCTTCGTGTATTTCAAGGTAAATAAAATGTAATTTTTAATATTTTTGCTATTAAATTCAATTATTATTTATTTCATTTTAGCTATCATCTATACTACTTGGAATTCATGATCCATTTGTACCATTCGAAAATCTATTCTGTGCGTTATTCCTCGGAGGAATTTGGGATTCGTTAGCCAAATTGCTGGGCCGAGGCCAAGCTAAAGACGAGAAAGCAGATGCCAAAAAAAAGGATTAAATGTTTGTAAACTTTATTTATGTAATATTAGATAATATTACTTATAATTTTACTATTATATAATTTCAATTCATTTAAAATCTATCAAATTTATGCAATGTAACATTTAAAATAATTTCTCTTATTTTCTTTTTATAGGTACAATTTCTCCAAAATGGATTTTAATATTTGCAATGATTTAATTCACTAAGAATCAATGAATGATATTAATTTAAATTAGTCAAACGATATTCGCATGTTTTATTAAATATGACCATGGACAAATCATTAAATATTGAAAGTACAATAATTTATTAAACATATTTTAATAATTATAAGTGATATATATTGAGGAGTATGACTTCCATTATTAATAATATCAACAGTATTATTTCTGTTGAGAATATAAAACTTGTTAATATAATTGTCTTTTTATAATTAATTAAATTTTATCAAATTAACATTATGTAACGATTAAATTCGTTATTTCTATAAAAATATAAAATTATTCATATAAAAATATTGTAAAAGTTAAAAATGTATCTCTTGTTGATTTTTTAATAATATGTACATATATACTGAATGTTTACTCTATTAGTTGCCAATGTTTTTCTCTCAAGCGATAAATTTTAAAAAAAAATAAAAAAATTTTTAAATGAAAAAAATGCAAAAATTCACTGTTTTTTTATGCAATAGAATAATGAAACAAAAATTTATTTCTTGCGAAAAAAAATGCTAAAAACTAATAGCGTGAACATCTTGTATATACGCAAAATTATTCTTACATATATATATACAACATCTTAGCAATGGTAAAAATGTCATTAATACAACATTTCTTTATTAAGGAAAAGTGCAATTTTTAAATATGTTAAAACTTATTAATGTTTTATTTTAATTCTGATATATTTTACTTTCTGATATCTTGTACATTGTAAACAAATAATTATTAATTATCGTACATACTCAGGTTAATAAAATTAAGGTAATATTCGAACAATAAAACTTCAGATAATAAAACAAATAACAATAAAATTTAGTATGATAAAAATGTAGGAGTAATCAACAAGAAGAAAAGTAAAACTTTTTTATACTATTTTATTATAATTAAATACAAACAATTGGTATTTATCATACACACATATAAAGAGTTTATCTCTCTCAACTCAATGTGAATATTCATTTACTATGAAAATTAAATGATGTAATTTTCATATAATATTCCAATTGACAAAATGTTATACATTTTCATATAATAAAATGAAGTTTGTTCTTCCATATTATATTCTTTTTTTTTACCATCTTAATCATTCTTTATCATTCTCTTAATATATACTAATGTAAAAAACAAAATAATTATAAAAATATTATTTTTTAGAAAAAAGTTTAAAAGAACACAAATATATAATAAGAATAAAATATAAGCATTCAAAAAAATTAAAAACATCAAGATTATTTCAAAGACATTTATATTTTCTAAATACATATTTATATTTTTTGTTATAAAATTTAACAATTTAATAAATTTAATAAATCAAATTTTGAGCATCATTATACCAATCATATTATTAATATTATGTAAAAGTAATTCTAATATTTAATTATTTATTTCTTGCATACATATATTTCTGCGATCTTACACACATCGGAATTTTCGAATTAACATCATTTGTTACATCAGTCCAGTCATAAAATATATTATTTTTACAATTTATATCGCATATATTATTCTTAAATGACTGTTTATGATAATTATCGATTTCTTGATTTGCACGTTCCTTGTAAAGAGCATATTTTAAATTAGCTTCGCTCAATTTTCTACAAATAGTAGATGGAATACAAGTAGATCGACCACATGTTTCTATTCGTTTACTTATATATTTCTTTCCATAATTCAAATCTGTCATCATAGTTAACGTTTCTTTATCCGATCTTATTATTGCTTGATTTTCATTGCATTTAATCACTCGAACCAATATAGGATCTCGTTTTTGAACACCTACGTTTATTCTTTGTTTTATATCTCTTGCTAAGCATGCAGAATCTTTGAACAATTGAGAATCACTTTGAATTTGTATATCACGATGAAACGATCCATTGATACCAATATCTTTGCAATTTAAATAAGTGCAAACATTTTTATCTGCCATTAAAAACTTTTTTTTCCTATCCAATATTAATGTTTTGTCCATTATTTTTTGTTTTTCATCCTGTTTTGTAGATCGAAATAATGGCACAAATATTTCTTCAGTCATTATCAATTTATTGTTACAGATAGAGGTGTCAATTTTTTTTAAACTGGGTTTTTTTTGAACTCTTTGAGGAAATGATTTTGTACTTAATTTTTGATAGGATTCTTTCAGTTCCTTGATATCTTTCAATTCTAGCATCATGATATGACTTTTGATTGCTGACACCATTTTTGTTGCATTGATTAAACAGTTCTCTTTCGGATAATATTTATAATCATCTGAAATTAACGCTTGTTATATTGCAAATATTAATAAATTTTAATTATTAATAAATTAATAATAATAATATTAATATTATTATATATATAAATATATAATAAATTAATATTATGTTCCGAATGAATAAGTTTTCAATAAGTGTTGTGTTTTGAATCATTCGTAATATATGAATAATATGATGATAGCATAGGAATTATAAGAATTATATCTTATAAAAATTTAATTTATATGAATAGATTTAAATATAATTTCTTTTTTTTTTGAAAACTAAAATGTTAAAAGTACAATAGCAATATAAAAGTAATATACAAATATCAATTTTATAAAAAAAAGATATATAAAGTTATTTATTTAAAACATATTAATTATATTATAACTTTTTTGCTAAATTATCCGATAAACTTTAAATTCGAAAATGATTTGAAAATCTTTAAAAGTTTCTGGAACTTATTTTTTATGCTAACAATGAATAAAAATTTATGTTCTAGATTATAACAATTTTAGATTATAACTTACAATCAATTTGTTTCTTTAATTTTCCACATTGCGTTTTTTCTTCATGTATGAATAATATATTCTGCAAAAGTTGTTGTAAAAGTGACATCACGGAAGGATCTTCTTTACAAAGATGTAATATATTTTGTGGACACGTGTCTATTAAACATGAATCTTCAGATTCTTGTGTTGTTAATTAAAATAATTTTATTAATATAATATTTTATAATAAAATATTATATATTATTAGAATTATATATTACATAATATATAATTCTTATCATACTATATTTTACAAAAAGTTCCAAATAAACATCTAATCAAAATGCTTACTTTTTTTTTTTACACAATGTTTCAAATCCATATTTTGAATATATGTCACAGAATTACATGATTTGGATTGAATTAAAGATGGAAATTTTTCTTTAGAAACGCACTGTACAAAGTTCGATTTAAATTGTTTAATTTCTTTTGTTACACAACCAATATTACGAATTTGGTGTATGGACATAGTAGTTCCAGTTTCTGTCATATTTTGTAAAGATATATGACAAGTTAAATTTCCTCGTGATACAAAAATAGTAGTTTGTATTCCTTTCGAAATTTGATCTATAATATTAACTAATACTTCTTTTGATTCTGTAGAATTTTTCCTATATTTATCAGTTTGATTTTCTTTTTGATCAACTTGATTTAAAGTTTGAAGTGAAACAGATTTTTTTATTCCATTTGTTATACAAACTGTATTCTGCACTTCTTTATCATTATAATTAATCGTATTAGTATCTATTTCTTTTTTTTCGAGTTGATGAATATTTTCAGAAACTTGTATTTCTTTCGTAGATGTTTCTAATTTTGCACTCTGTATAATTTTACTCTCTATAAATTTCATATTTTGAAAAGCACTTTCTATTGCGAGTGATTTTGATTTTAAAGATTTATTTTGATCTGATAAAATTATTTTTAGATGAGTAGAAGCTTTTATAGTATCAAGCTGTAATTTATCTGTCATTACAGGAATATTTATTTGCATTGGTGTTTCTATATCATATTTTGAACTCTTTTTAGAATCAATACTATATTGTACTTCTGCATTTGTATATGTCTTTAGATATTGTTTTTCTTTTACAGATTCTACTGATATTGATTTAGATTTTGTTGTTATTAAATTTCCATTAGATGTATGTTTTGGTAATTCCTGTAAAATTTCGGAATCTCCAGAATAATTCACATCTTTTTTTGAATAATAGATCGATAGATCAGTGTTGCCCAGATCTAGATAAAATACATAAATTTAAATTAGCTGCATAAATTATATTTCTTCAATAAATATATAGCATGTTTCAATAAAACAGAAATTTCAAATTATTATTTCGTAATTAAAGAGTTAAGTTGACAAAATTTTCAGATAATTTTCATTTTATAAAAAAATATAAATTAATTTATAATATTCATATGTACTATCACGTGTAACTTTGTCACATCCAGCACAATTAGTATAAACTCCAAAAATGTCTTTATTATATCCAGAACAAGAAGTATAATCTTTTTTTGAGTTTTCCTCAATTTCCTTATATTTTATATCTTCCCAACCACATAATGGACATTTTAAAAATGGTGATTCATAATTCTCATAATTTTTTGTTAAAGAAGAAATATCATTAAGTTTACAATCCATTGAAGGTTTTGAAACAAACTCAGGATATTCTAAAATTATAAAAAAAATGAAGCATCTATATTTAATTGTTTTTATTTTAAAATAATTTTTTTTACCCATTGTTTCAAACTCGGTATCTCTAGTTGGTCTTAAAAGTGATGGATGATCTTTTCGATCTATTAAATAATTCTCCTTTGGTTTAAATTGTGAACAAGGAACATATCTTATTTTTTTTTCTTTTATTATTGTATTCAGATTATTTTTCCTGTTCAAATGAGTTGTTTCTCGTTGCTGGATTCTTTCCTCGTCTGCGATTACTTTCACCAACATATCTGCTACTATATCATACCAACAAAATGGTGATTTATATTCTTGTTGAGATTGTTGTAGAGTTTTGATCATCTTCATTTGCTCCATTTTATATCTGTATTTATGTACAATAAAAATTTGATTCTCATTTCTTTTTATATATAATTATATAATATAATAATATAAAATTATATATATAATTATATATAATAATTTTAAATATTTATATATAAATATTTAAAAAATAATTAATTTAAAAATATCTTAAACTCTTCAATAACAAAACTTAATAATTAGTTTTTCACAACAAATACAGTTCATATATTTTTATTACGATCTATTACTTTTCATTATCTGTTTTGATTTTTTAAAATTTAGATTAAATATAATTTTTTATTTTCAAAATCACTAGAAGATTACAATAATTCTTAAATCTAAATTAATATATAAAAAAAATAACATATAACATATAAAAATTTGATATACATATAATAATTTGAAATACATATAAAAATGTATTTTTTTTTTTTTTCTATAAATAGCTTAATGAATTTAATTAAAAATAAATATTTTAACTTGAATCATAATAAATGAAAGAATTTGTACATTTTTTTTTCTCATTCAATAATATGAATTATGATTATTATATAGAATATTAATATATGAAACACTTTTGAATAGAATAGATTTTAAAGATCGATATAAAAGTTAATATTTAAAAATATCAATTGAAATTTATTTATAAATCATAAGCAATTTAAATTTATATTAAGAAACATGATATCATTCGCCATTTCGTTTTGTTTTCATATATTTAAGATGTTTATAACTTAATAAGTAAATTTCAACCAATATTTTTTTATACCGACTTTTATGTTTTTTTGATCTTTAGAATCGATTCTCCAAAGTGATTCTAAGAATATATTAACATCTTGTATAATCATTTTATTATTATAAAAACAAATTACACTCGATCATAATATTTTTTGTTTTCTCGCTTATCTCTTCCACAATATTCATTACCAAAAATTCCGATCGTACATTACTTTTCTCTTATACTCTTGATTTGGTGCAAATAATCAATTACAGTAAAGCCAGGTATATTGAGGTCATCGATTATTTTTTGCAATGCCTTATTCTTCTCGTAACAATTATAATAATTCTTATGATAAGGGTTCCAGAGACATGGATATTGCTTGTATTCTTTTAAAAAATTAATCACTAATTTCTCGTTCCATTTGGATGACATTTTGTAATAAGAATATTTTTATCAACAAATTTTAATACAATATCACTGAAAAAACAGTATTTATAATTTTATGTACATTTATAATTTTAAATCTATCCACATAATAAAGTCAATTTTGGTTAAAGAATGCAACTGAATTTGATCGCGCGATACATCGAACGAAAGCATTTGTCAAATCATTTTATATTATTTTATTAACTTTCTTCTTGCAATTTTATGAATTAACATTATGATGTTATGTTTTACATATTATATCTTTCGACAAATTTTTTTTTTAATTACTAGACAAATATAAATATTTCGTAAATTTTTATTTCCATTGTTTACAATCGAAGTTATAAGAAGAATCGGTTTTAATTTTGATAACTGGAAGACCGCAACTACAAGTAATTTCCTTATGTAATAGTGTACATTCACTACAAGTTGAAGATGTATAACAATCCAAATATCTTGATTTCATATTATCCAGACGTTCTTGAGCAATTAGATCTTGTATATGTTTCTCTAATTTAATAGCAACTTCTAAAAATAAATTATATATCATTTTAATAATTATCTTTATAATATATCAGTGTTAATATTCACCGAAACTTATATTTCGCAATTGAAATGCAATACTCTTGCCGAACATGTCAAACTCATCGATTTTCCTTGCCTCTTTAATATCATTTTCTGCCAAAATATAATCTATACGACCAATATCTTTCTGAAAATTATTTTCTATATTTAATTTAATTTGTAAATTCTCTAAATTAAATATTTGGACAGAACTTATACATTTATTTTCAGATCTATAGAATAGAATTTTTAATCTGACAATAAAAATCTATTTACCGGATCATTTTTCATCATTATAGTCATTAAATTCGCAGTGTTAGATATTTCATTTTCTATACACACTTGGCAAGTTGTACATGCAGTTTTGAAATAAGAGATTTCGGTTTGGGTTGCATGCTCTGTATTGATATTTTTCTTAGTATTATTAGCAACATCAATTCGAGTTATTTTTTGCGTATGTAAATTTTTGCAATCTGTAGATTGCGAAGTAATAATTTCTTCATGTTCATCCGGAATAAAAAATTTTTCTACTTTTCTAAAAGTAAAGAAATTTTAATATATTTTATCATAATATTAATGTTAATATAATAATATTAATGTTATATATTATCAATATGATATATATGTAATATACATATATATAATAAATAATATAAGTTACTTGATACGAGTACGAGGTTTAATTGTATTCAATTTATCACAATAACAAGTTGCATATGAATAATTATAATCCTTATTTAATACTCTTTGTTCTACAGAATTTGAACGTATTCTGTATTGATCGCGTATTTCATCACAGTAGTTTCTAAATGTATCTCTTTTATCATCATATTTCTAAATATGAAGTTAATTGTTATGATAAATAAATAAAATTCTTATAATATATTTTATTATAATTGAGTAATATACACCTCACAGGTATCACTATAATTTGCTATAAATGGAAAAAATAATTGGTGTACTATTGGAAACCAGCTCATTGTTGGACTGTAAAACTTTTCACAAGATATCGCAGCACTAATTTTAGACAATTCATAACAATATTGAGCTTTTACATAAGTAATCCTTTTGACACAATCACAAACTGTTAAACCACAAACGTTCATAGAATTCACGATCTCTTTGTAAGCTTTGTAACGACATAGTTTATTTCTAAAATTTGGGTGAAAAGGATTTCTTAAACACTCGTGTTTACTATAAAGAGTTACTAATCTCAATGTTAAACTTTCGGTCCATGCAATTGGCATGATAAATTATTTTAAACATTTGCAGCATAATCAGGTTATTTAATCCTTCACTTGCATTGATGCCACAATTTACATATCGTAAAAGCTTTGTGTTCATATCTTGAGCTCATACGAAAATTCTTAGCAAGAATTTCTGTGTTGAAAAAATGCGATGAGCGAATTGCGTTTAGATTATACATTATACAAGACAGGTTAAAAAAATTATTAAAATTTAGAGAA